GAGAGAGAGAGGGAGAGAGGGAGAGAGGGAGAGAAGGAGAAAGGAGAGAGGGGCAGAGGGAGAGAAGGGGAGGAGGGAGAGGGGGAGAGGGACAGAGAGGCAGAGAAGGAGAAAGGGGGAGAGAGGGAGAGGTAGAGAGGGGGAGGAGAGAAGGAGAGAGGGGGACAGGGGGAGAGGGAGGGGTATGGCAGTTTTGATTGCTTTCGTCTTTAGAATTGTGGACTGGTGGCCTTGCTGGAAAATGCTAAGTGTCTCCCAGAGCACAGACCACAGATCAGCACCAGACATGTTTAGTGTCACCATGCTGACAATCACTGATAAACCACACTGTGTCCTCTCAGACAAGGCTAACCCTACACCACAACAAGATAAAGGCCATGAGGAGGCAGTGGCCTACATCTACTTTTTTTTTTGTCTTTTTGAGACAGGGTCTTGCTATGCAGTTCAGGCTGGCCTTGAGCTCACTTTGTAGCCCAGGCTGGCCTCAAACTCACAACAATCCTCCTGCCTCAGCCTCCCAAGTGCTGGGATTACAGGCAAGTGCTGGGATTACATGCGTATGCCACCATGCCCAGCCACGTCTACTTTTGACATGATTTCAGGGTTGTACCTTGAAACAGGGCCAGAGCTGTGTTACTTCTAGGGTGGAATTTAAAGCCAAGGGTAGAAGCTATGAGAGACACAGAAAGACTTCTCTAGATTCAAAGATGAGGGATAAAGTGGAGGTAAGAAGTCCCTGGCTGTGCTGCCTTCAGACCAGAGTTAACCTGTTAAAAATGCCCAAGGCATAATATAGCCCAACCATTAGGCAAAAGGTATCCCAAGCTCCCACCATTTGGTACATGCTGGTTTGGGTTTCTCCTTCAAGCTTCAACCCCAACAGCCCTGTTTCCGCCTACGTTTTATATTGTAATATTAAGTATCCATCTTTTGTTTTTTAAATTTTGGGACAGAGTCTTGCTATGTAGTTCAGGCTGGCCCTGAACTCACCCTCTAGTCCAGGCTGGCCTAGAACTTGCAGCAATAGCTCCTGCCTTAGCCGTCTAAGTGCTAGGATTACAGGCGTGCACCACCACGCCAAGCACGTATCAATCTTATTTTATAAAAACCTTCTGTGAGCACTCCTTGCAATTGTAAGAATATGCATGAGCCCCCCAACAACCTCCAAGGCCTCCACATACTGACCGCCATCTTTCTTCCTTGCTGTGTAACATTCTTCTAATAAGTCACTGCACTTCAAGCAGGCTGGCTCCTGCCTCAGGACCTTCACGTGAAAACGATCTGTGCCTGGCCCCACATCTCAGCATGGTAGAATATTCCTCATCATTAAGGTCTCCACACTTTCTCAGAGAGGCCATCCTGAGCGTGTAACTGCAGTAGTGATCTTTCCACGCCTATTCACTATCCCTTTAACCTGTGTAACATTCTTCATTGCAGTTTCTACTATTCCAAACTATCCTATTAATATTTGGATACTTCAAGGGACCATTAATACATTGCTAACATTTCTCCATCACATGATAGCAATGGGATACAGATACATATTTAATGAGTGGATACTGGAATTTAAAATATAATCTCATTTTTAAAAGGGCACCACTTCAAAAAATTTAAAAATGCAGGGAGTGGCGCTGAAAGTGAAGAGGTCTTACATCTTACCTATTAGATTGTAAGCTTTTAAAGAACAGTGGGGGGCTGGGGATTTAGCTCAGTGGCACAGCGCCTGCCTGGCAAGTGCAAGGTCATGAGTTCGATTCCCGGTACCGGAGAAAAACCAAAAAAAATTAAAAAAAAATAAAAAACAGTGAATTCATACAGTACCTAGTACCTATGCACTTAAAAGTGTGCACATAGAAGAGAGTAGAAGTGTCACAACATTTAATAATAGTTACTTCTGAAATTTTTGCTGTTTTTCATCCTTAAATTTTAAAAATAAAACTCAACATATCAATACATTGCATCTTCTGAAATCTAAGTTTAAAATCTGTCACCAACTTCTTCACTTCATAGTTAACATTATGGGTAAACAACTGTGATTTGTAAACACTTCTGGAGTCAAGCCTTCTGCACACTAGAATGAAGGGGCAGGAGAGGGGGTGTTCTCTGAAAGTCAGCAACTAGATATCTCTGGGATGGGGAAGGAAGGAAGAAGTAAAAGCAGAGTTTCCACCTCAGAGCCCTGCGCGATGCTCTAACTGGCTCTGAAACAGAGACCAAACAGAGACATATCTCAGCCTGCTGGAGCACAGATCTCTTGGCCTAGAGTGTACTTGTACAAGATCATATAAGACATTTGGGATTCTTATGGCAAATGTTTATCAACACCTACTATGTTCCACACATGACAGTAGACACTTATTGATACGGAACTGGGTCACCGTGAGTGTATATTCTGATGCAAGACAGTGGCATACTGTCATGTTTGGGGTTTTTTGCAAAGGTGAACAATATTACACAGGGCACATATTTTATAAGATTATTTATAATAGTCACCCAAAGAATGATATACAAAGGAGTGCAGGAAATCCGTCCACACAGTAAGACCAAGGAATTAAGCTAAGGACCTGGATCCCATGGAAATGTCCTGCATGAGTCCAGCTGAAGACCTAGAGCTTATAACAGCGTCTCCCACAAGGCCAACTGGAGGCCTAGAGGCCATAACAACATCTCATGCAGGCCTGTTTACGGATCTGTGTTGGGAAGGCTCAAAGGTCAGTGGTGGAATTTAGGAAGTCTGTGCCAGCGGGATGAAGGATCTATACTAGCAGGCTG